ATCGGAGACAACGGAGCACAACATCTGGCTGATGCATTACGAAATAACACAGTGACCCTCATTCTCTCTTCATCTATCTCATATAGCGATCTGCACTTTTTGGCACAGACACTCATCATACTAGATCTTAGATACAATCAAATCGGAGACAAAGGAGCACAACATCTGGCCGATGCATTACGAAATAATACCGTGACCCTCATTCTCTCTTCATCTATCTCATATACCCATCTCCACTTTTTTCACAGACACTCACCAAACTAGATCTGCTCAAGGATCAAATTAGATAGCAGCTTGAAGCTCGCTTTTAAGAATTGATTGAGTAGAATAAAGAGCGAGCAAAATCGTGAAGAATAGTTTCGATGATGGTTGAAGGAAGAACTGAAATTTCTAGTTAAATACGTGATTTGCTTTTTTTATGTTTCTTTTTGTGTGGAAGTGACAATAAAGCGTTTTGATTTGGTATATGATATGGCTGATATTGGCTATAACACACTATTTTTTCTATAATGGAACTATGAAGGAATGGATGTTTGTTTTTTGAGTCTTTGTACGGGTGTGGCTTCGATGAAGCAAGATGGTGTACGCTTCTATTGTCAATAGTTACTTGACATGGGTAATATTTTGTTGAAAGTTTTTTGGACAGTGGTGTTGGAAGGAGACTTTTATTTTCGATATGTTGTCGTTGGTATTCGACTATGTCGATGATAGTTTGTTTGTGTGACTTGGAAAAATTAATCATATGAATATCGGATTTGGATTCTGATTCATATGAAATCAAGTGTGAAAGGATCTAGAAGTCGCAAATTTTCTCGTTTTGGTAAATGCAATCTGATTTTTCAGTGATTAATGACTCTAACGGTCGGCTGAAGATTTTCATGTAGAATATGATCTATGTAGTTATTTGTATCAAAAATGTATAAGATTTTGTTTTCTTAACTGGCAGATTTCCTGTTGGAATGATCAATGAAAATAAGTAGTATTGATATGAGAAAGTGTCCTTTCTAAGCTATTCAAGCTTTATGATGACTATATATGGATTGAGTAGTTGTTGTCTAAGACAATGGATTGATTTTTAAGCGGCTAGGTATGTATTTCTATGAAATTGGTGTTTTTTTGCTGTTGTATATAGCCGAAATGGGCTGAATAAATGTTGATCAAAAAAAGTCACAAATACATTCATGCTATTAACCAGTTTCGTGTTGCTGTATGCGCCGTAGATCTTTTGTGTTTTATCACAGCTGGATAAATTGATTGCAAATAAAACGATCAATTCAATTCGTGAGGTGGAATGATTTGAATTGAATTAAAAATATGTTTTAAGATCAGTTCATTCAATTCAATTCAATTCAATTCAATTCAATTCAATTCAATTCAATTCAAAAAACAATCTTCTAATAGCTTTGACGAAACACGCTAAAATCAGAAAAACAGAGTAATGTGTGTTTCTGTTGTAATGCTGTCGTATATTCCTAACTAGAGATGTCTTAACCATACCTGTGTCTATATCTACATACTGTGTATATCTAGCTTATGCTTGTATGCCATTAATAAAGCCAACATCATATACTGAACTTCTCGAGAGCAAAGCTATTTCAGTCAACTAAAAACCTGGCAACTCATCTGAATTCAATTCAATTTATGATTTTACTTGAACCCTTTTGAGAAAAACGTTTCACAAAATCTATAAGCTGAATTGAATGGAGTTTCAATGATTTATGAATCGATTTGAATTGAATTACAGAATATCTCGACAGACCTATGAATCCAGCGATTTTGGAATGAAGCATTTCTTTTGATATTTCACCTGTTGAATTTAGATAAGTTGAAACATCTCGCTCTGTGTTATACTTACCTACGCGACAGAGAAGATAGTGTGACTTTTTTCATACATCTAAACAAAAGCATATAGAAATTTAGGATAAATTCTATAGTTAGGATTTCTATTTGTTAGCTTGGCACCAGTTTGGAAAAGACACTCATACAATAATATGATAATCTTCTGTTTTCAGTTCAAAACAATCACAAAATGTTCAAAAATGTCACATGCTGAATGGTAACTGTACCTACTACTTATCTTCACTAAAACAATTGACATGACAAATATAAATATTGTACTAATAATACCTTCCTCGCATACTTCAGAACAACCACGATCACAGACTTTTTCTAACAATTTCAAGCATCTAAGTGATATACGAGAAAATCGAGAGAAAAACAATTCTTATCAAGAAACGATAATGCATTCACCAATCCTATTCAATAATATCTTACGCTGAGCCAGCAATGAAGCGCAAGGCATAGAAGTTACCGTTTTTTCTACTATTTCTCATGATAATATCAACACAACTTCTACAGTTATACAGTAAAAAAACTATGTCACTAAAGTCAGCCTATTCAAGAATCGCACTGATTTCCTCCGCAAACACGGTATACGCCGATATAGCAATCAGTCATAAAAGAAACATAACACCCATATAACAGGTACCTTTCTGGTCCGTCAACATAACAAACCACTGATTTTCATGCAATACAAAATCAACAGTGCAAGACAAAAAAATGATTGACAAAAATATAAACCACATACAAATATTTGCGACTACAAACAAATCCTAAACTAATTCCATCCGACCGAAAATTCCAAAATTTTTCAGCCGCTCAAAAACCCTTTAGACTTCAATATCATTTCCGTTCCATGCTTAACCTAAAACAGATAAATTCTTACCGATCCAAACAAACTAGTATTCTAACACTGACCTCACTATTCGCAGATGAAAATATCCATGCGACATGCATTGACTCAAACTCTCAACATCAACACATTGATCGCCTAGAAGCTACTAAAAACATACGGTATCGTTATCTTTACCTCAAACAACAACTGGCCATGCGTTATTCCATGATGCATTAGCCGGATGTTATGCTCAGAGAGCCCCGATTTGGCTGCTGAAGGGTGTGCGTGTCACTGTAGATGAAGTGAATAGTTACACCCACACCCACACCCTTTTCACTTTAGGTATTTTGTATTAGTTTAATTAGGTTAAAGGATTTATGTGAACTTCGCTAACAAGCTTCTGCTTGTTTTTTATCATAAGTTCTTTGCATAATCGTCTATCAACTTCAAGTTGTTGCTTGTGATCAAGGTTTACTGACCTCTATTTGTAGTTAAAATATCAGATTTTTAATAGGTAAATTTTTCGAACTGACATATGTTTTCAAACTATTTATCTTTTATTTGTTGTAATTTAAAAGAAATTTAGTTACTATTTATACATTGAGTTTATTGTTTGAAATTCTTGTGAATCACATCATGTCATATCTTCACTGAGACCATTTTTATACATTTGTCTTAAATTTGATGTTGTTGTTAATACACTTAATATCAATGAAAAAAACATCATTAATATAATAATAAAAACAGCTATTGTGATAATTAATGCAACTTTTCGAAAAAGAATATCTCGATTTATACGTTTTCGATTTGCATCTAATACTGAATTAACATCACATAAAAATGAGTAAAATAAGCTATTATTTGGAACAATGCATCCTTTACTAAAAAAATAGAGTAAATTTTGTAAAAGAATTGGTTTCGAACCAAGAGCAACATAAGAAATACAATCCGTTGGTTGAACATGTGAAACATTATAACATCGTACATCTGTTCCATCAGCAGGTAAATAAAAATGATGAACAGGTTTAAAATTTGGACGATATTGAATAGCATGAATTTCTTCTTCAGCACGTTTTAATTCATGTCTCATTTTAAAAAGAATATACCAATTTTGAAATGGTCTATCAACAACTGAAGTACGTACAATAGCGTTCCAACTTCGAATCTTATGTATATTATTACGAACTATAATCCATTTGGATTGTGGAGCTAGTAAATAAGCTGTACGTAGTGCTTGATAATCATAACGTGTAAGTAACGGTGTTCGAGTTGATATAATTGTTGATACTGCAGGTGAATCTATAATCACATGTGATTCTTTTTCTCGTTCGGGAATTTTACGTACGAGTAGTCTTAAGCCAGTTGACATTTTAACCTTAATAAAAAACAATATAAAATGTCTTCTAGAAAATTTTGTGGAACTCTTATATGTTTTTGAAGAAAATAGTGAGTGAAAGTTTGAAGTTTCAGATTTTTCGGCTTCCAACTCCATTACAAACCATAGCAACTCTCCAAAAAAAAAAAGAAAAAGATTCTGTTCGAAATTCAGAAATAAGTAAGATAAGTCCTTACTGTAGCGATCAACTATCGTGGGAAGTAACTATAGTATGCAAGAGATTTTCTCACTTTGGTGACCGGACAATTCGTTGCGGACAATTTGTCGCATGGACAATTTGTCGCAATGATATAATCCAATCATAGTTTATATTTTTTTTTCAACAACAAAGCACTTATTCAATTTAGTTTGAAACATATAATCTAATGGCGATACAAATTATTGAAAATATTGCTCATACCGAAACGCCGATTTTTGATCTCGAACAGTACGATACTCTTCTTTTGTGGATAAAAAATTAACTTATCTGAGGTATACAAGTGAAGAAAATTTTCCTATATCACTGAGAGTGACATTGCGTCTTTTTTTATTCGCAGTACAGCTCAAAGCTTCTGACAATAAGACAATACTTTGAAAGAACTAGCGAAGTTTAGCGTTTCCTGAAGAGGAGTAGTGCTG